ATCAATTTGGAAGCATTTGAAACCCTGAGAGCAAGTAAATTCGAAAACATCCATATTAATTACTAATACATACATATATATATATATATATTATAGAATTTTGTGATTATCGACTTTGTAAAATATATTAAAGAATGTGTAGTATATAAGTAACTGTTTTTGAAATTACACTGAAGATAAGGCACGCCGTGGTCTCGAAACGTCTGTAATTACCAAATAAAGTGTGTGTTAAAAATCTGAGTGTTGTATTGTTCATATTTAACATTTAACATATATATATATATATATATATATATATATATATATATGCATATATATATATATATATATATAGATGTGTATATATGCATTATATATTCTCTCCAAGCTTTGTGGGCACTTTGTACAAGAAAATCAAGAAAATCAGATAAAACTCATAGTATATTGAAAACAAAACATGATCAAAGCCAAAGACGAGATTACAACGCTTTCCTGCACACAAGGTCTGTGGATATCTTACGACATTAATAACATACATGAAAGATACAAAGTTTTCAAAAATACACAAACAAAACTCAACATTGATGTATGAATACAATGCTATTCAATCGTAATAGAATAGAAATGTGAATAATAATGTAAATATCTATATAGGGGTAATAGTAATGATATTCATTATCACTTGATAATAAAGATCAAAATACGTTTCCATAAAAAATTTCATAAAAAAAAACATTTTGTTTGCTTTTATTAATAAAAAACACCAAATCGATAGGTAAAGCATAGGGTTGCCATCTAAAAAGCCATCTAGTAAAAGTATCATCACAACAGATTAATAGAACTCTTAGTTCTAATTGTGAATAAAAAAACATCAAGTAAAAAAAAATTGCTGTCAAATCCTATTAAAAAACAAACTAGTGGTGCATGGCATCGTGCCTAAAAAATTGCTGGAACTTTTCGTATCAAATTTTTTTTTTTTTTTAAAAGAGTCTTACAATTTTTTGAAAACTTAAAAAAAATGAAACTTTTGAAAATGTTTTTGAAAAATTTGATTTTCTTTTATAATTTTGCGTGTGCTGTGGTTGTTTTAGAGACGAAATATAGAAGCGCGTAAGCGCTGCGTCGCAGTGTAACGGATAAACATTGGTACGGAACCATAGAAATGTAAACAAAATTTATACTTAAAAATAAAATCTCTATAAAATATCTGATGATTTTAATGTGCATATGTATAATGATCAATTTTTGACCCCAAATGGCATTTTTTTTTCACTTTTTTTACTCGATCTTCGAAACCGCTAGGCATGCCGTTCCAAAAATTTAATCAATTCTTCATTTTATCAATACAAATAAACGAATTATTGAAATCGGACGCTCCGTTCTCTCAAAAACTGAAATACCATTTTTAACTCTTTTTGCTCCGTTTCTTTGAAACGGCTGGATCTGCCTCGGCCAAAAACTAATTAGCACCTCTCCTTATCAGTAGGAATCGAATGTTATCTGAATTATTCAAATCGGTTGATCAGTGTTCTCGAAATCATCGACAAACTATTGTATCCGCACATACATACACACACACATACGTCATAATCATTTTTTCTAAGGTATGCCAAAATGTTCAGAAACCTTTGAAACGTAAAGATATATAAAAATTTTCATTTTAGATTTTTCTGCGATTATTATAACTTAACCTGCGGGAAGTTAAAAATATTAATAATAACATTGGAGACATTGAAGATGTTGGGTAAATGATTTGTACTATTTTTGGTGAAACAATTTTGCAAATAGCAAATACAAAATAAGTAGTAAAAGAGGTTTTGGAGTTGAACTTGATCGCTTCTGCCGCAGGAGAATGTACGCATTGAAGTGTTTTATTGAGAGCAATTACAGCGGAAGAAAAGGGCACACAAAGAATGCTTTTAGTAATGAGATCTTCCATCTCGTCGACATGTAGTGTGACCTAGTACATAATGATGTAAGCTCATTGTTCCGGTGGCTTTTAAATAACTATGTATACAATATTGCGTGTTGCATAAACGTGGGAATTTATACAAACAATCACAGCAAACGCTTTAACTGTGAAATAATCTTCGATTATGTTTGTGCACTGGCGTGCAGCATCTTTCGGGATTTACAGTAAACCATTATCATATATCGCAGTTCGTTTTAATAGAATTGAATTATTCATTTTCGACTCAATTACTGCTGAGGTATCAGGACAGGTACATCTATTTATCCGCAACATAGTTCAAGATATTGCAATATTATAAAACAAGTCCAGATTCAATTTTATGTATTTTTCTTCTTGCTCGACCTTATGTTTTTCGCCCAAATATTATTAGATCACAAAAACAAGAAGAGAAAATACATGGAATTTGAAGCTGACATACTAGCTTCTAGAAAAATTTTCGATAGAGCACCAACATTTATAATAACATAGAAAGTTTTTCCACAGTCTTAGAAAACAACAAAAATCTTTTATCATCTTACAGGCCGCTTAGTTTGTTGTCTTCTATTCCAAAACTGACGAATGGTTTTTATTGTGACGAATAGAAATAAATAGCACAAAATCATATCATGTGACCTTCACGCTGCGCAAATAAACTTGTCCTGCAGTTGAGTTTAATAATAATATGTATCGTTATTCCGTCCAAGGAGTCTGTAAAATATCTCGTTATTCATTTAGGTTTTCCATTAGGAAAACCTAATTGGAAAACACACATTTCGCAAAATAGCAGCAAATATATTAAATTCTCAGTAAATATGACTGGCTTCTAGAAAGGAATTCAAAAGTTTCGGTCAACAATAAACTACTAAAATATAAGACTGTGGTCAACAGAATCGAAAGTCAGCCCACGAGAAAAAGGTAAATTTCTATCGAACTCTTCTAGTTATTTTTATAATATTTTTTGTTGTTGACTATTATGTTATTTTGCTTCATATTTTTTATATATTACACTCCTAGATTCTTGGCTAGGTGTATCTACTAATTTACAATCATATATATTGTTAACAATATCTGCTCTTTTTTATAAACAAAATAAAAACTCTAAAAAATTATAAATAATATATTACATGTTATTATTATATAACATTAAATAGAGCATATTAACTGACATGGAACTATAAGGTCTGTAATTGCCAAAAATAGCATATAATTCAAGGTCATATAATCAACATGCACAACTTAAAAGATCAGTAACAAAATCATTTCGAATAACGCACGTTTTTAATAAAAATAATTAAAACCCCTTGTACAATATCAAAATGGGTAATCTCGGTGGATATAAAAGCTGATTTATCGATAAATTTATGATATTTTGAAAAATATAAAAACTTTTGACACAATTAAAAGCTTAATTTTATTTCAATAATATTTAATATACGCTATATAAGCCATTTGAATTTAAATTTAACTTTAATTAAATTCGTAATATTTAATCAATTTCGATATTGATAGTCATGATAAAAACTTTATAATACTTCATCACATATTCAGTGGCAATCAATACGTAGGGGAGCTAGGGGCTAATTGTAACAGTTATTTTTAAATTAATATATCTTAAGAACCACTGATGATATTCACGAAATAAAGACAGATAGTTGCTATAACTATTCCTCTACCGAATCAAGTAAAATAATTCCACAACTTGTTTATTATTTCACAATTAACCATTTCCTTGAAAAAGAGCGGTGTTACAATTTACTCCTGGGGCTTGTTGTAACGTCTACCAAGTCAAGCGAGTAACTCAAAAAAAGCGGCAATAATACCTCTGATAATTTATTCTTTACTTATTTTTAAGAAAATTGACCTATTTTAGAGTAATTGTTTTCATAAATGAACGCAAACTATAATTAATACAAATAAAATATATAACGCCTCTTATAATATAAATTTTTATTATGAGTCAACGTAAATTACAATTATTATCATAATAAAAATAAAAGATTTATTGTCTCCTGTAACATAATATACATTTGCTCACATTTTACAAACTATACATTCCTCCCAATCTTTTTCACTAGAATCTGTATATAATTTTTGTATGTACATATACAACTAGTCCCAAGGTTTTGTTTAAACTAACCCCAAGTGTGACTTTTTTACTAGATATCAAGATAACTATTTGAACAATTTAGCAATTACAAGAATCATCAAAGATTGATAAATTTGAAACAAAATAAGATATATAAAATTTAAAATTAGTCGATAATAAAAACGTAAACCAAAATAGATTAATTCTATATGACTGCACAGTTGTTTATTTTGTTTAATATTATGTAGGGCGGTATAAATGTCCAATCGGGACAAAAGTATATTTTAATATCGTTCAAGATGCTTGTTCAGACATATCATTTTATTGTATTGAGCATAAAGGCGGCAATCTTCATGGCATTGAGCTTATACACAGAATTGTTGCTACCCTTTAAAGAGAGCGGCGGATTTGAGTCAAACTTATATTTCTCACTTCTAAAATTGAATTTACATATCTTGCATTCTATCCCGAAAACGCTTATGCTCTTTATAATATACAATATATACAATTACAATTATATAGTATATACAATATTAATATTGTATAATATAAAGAGCATAAGAGTTTTCTGGGATAGAATGCACGATGTGAAAATTCAATTCCGTTCTCTACGAACGCTGCACGACGACGGAAACTGCTCCCTGTGACCTAGTTAAAAAGCTCGAAGTAGGTCAAACCCATTAAACGAGGCATATTTACGGAGTAAAGGAAAAAAGACACGTTAATTCTGCGTTTCCCTCGCAAACTTTGCGGATCGAGTATTATATATTATACGTTCGCGTTTCTTTGACAATTCCTGGGAGTTGTTGCATAAAATTACTTTCTAAATAAATAAGCTCTTTGTAAATGAAAATATGATTGCACTGTCTCTGAAAGAGTATAATATGAGAAATTAATGTTTCATAAAATGAAAATGTTTATTGCTATTATTTATTATTACATAAAACGAATAAGTACATTTAGGAAATAATTATTATTTCTTACCTATGTTTTGTGCCTATATAGGGTAGAGCGGCGCTTAAAGGCCCGCGGGTAAGAAGGTTTACCAGCAATATCTGAAAAACAAGTAAAGTTAGGAATTTTGTAACAACAATATTTGAAAGAAAAGGTGAAAATTGGTGTAATCAGCCATCGCGTCGCTACAAGGAGAGCCGTTTAGGCCATGTTTAAAAATCCATAACAAAAGTACTTTCTTTCGTTGTTTTTTGAGTTTACGATACCTCAATATAATATTTAACTATACGATATTTAATTTTTTATGAGTCGTATTGTTATTTTTAAGTTAAATTCAATAAAAGTTTTTATGTTGAAGCTCACACGTGGATGGGGTAAAAAGGAACAGCTAAACCTTCACTCTGGTAAAGGCGTAAACCATAAAAATTTATAAATAAATATGACAAAATTCCACGCCAAAAGCTCTATATTTGGTATCTTTGTAAAAAATGCATTGGTTGAGTATTGTAGCTATTATTTTGTAAAATCCCTTTAAAATAAATAACAAAGCATTGGATATGTCCTTGACTATGGGGTAAAAAGAGACAGATGACAAATTTAAAAAAAATAGTGAATAAACGTATTTCTGTAATTAAAAATTAACTGGAAATTCTACTGAAAATAGTACATTTGTTTCATACGTGTTATGCTTTTTTGATGTAAATAGTTCATTTAGTTTACAGGGTCTTGTTTACAGCATAATAACTTAAATTAAACTTGGATCTTTGTGTCCCGCACTACCCTATTTAAAATAAAAAGCATCATATTTTCATTGTAACGTTTTATCAAGATGCACCATCTTTCCATTTTGATGTATGTACAATGTAAAATTTTTAAGAAAAATTAGTTTATCGCATTATTTCCTTGAACTTATGACATGAATTCTACCAAGTATCTGCTCATAATTATATGAATCATTAGTTTAGAATAATTTATATAATACGTATGCAATTATAGTGTATACTAGCTATGTGTTTTCTGCGTAATAAAGTGGCACAGTTAGTATACATAGTGGAATTTCAAATCTGAATGTAAAAAATAAGAAAACAACAACAAAAATTATTTTTCATTATTTACTTTGATAACTACTAATAAATAACAGTTCCATCAATATTGAAAATAAAAAAAGAATTTATATAGCAATAATTAGATCCGCAATGATATATGCTTCCCCTATTTGGTGTATGACAAACAAACATAATATTAAGAAACTACAATTAGTACAAAATATTTGCTTGACCTATAACAAATCTCATTATGGTTTGTTATAGGTCAAGCAAGAAATCCAATAAATATGCATTATATTAGCACAACATTCTTACATGATTCCACTAATGTACTATTAGTGAGAGATTTTATAACAGTTATGTGAAAGTTTTATACTAATTGTTTATTTAACTTAAATCCTAATAAGATAATCAAGTATAAAATATGACAGAGATCAAATTACTCTTAAACTATTCCTACAGCATATGTTATTAGTCTTTTGACTATTTTTCATTTATATAAGTAATATGTATTATTTTGTTATTATTATTGTAGATATGGTTTTTAGTGATTATCTTTACCTTTTATTATTATTACCGTTTTTAGTGATTATCTTTTTATGATTAGATTTTACTTATAAGTAAATTTACTTTTTTATTAGTTAGTATTAAATATAAGTTTATGTATTTATATCTTAGGATAGTTATACTTGATTATATAAAATGTATAGAAATATGTATGTATAAAGTAATATAAATAAAATAAATAAATCTTTAAGAACAAAAAAAAACTAATAAATAACGTTTAAGTGGGAAAATGCCTATTATTTTTATAGCATGTACAAAAATTATACTTGGGGTTAGTTGAAACGAGACCTTGAGGCTAGTTGTAACATACAAGAATTATATGAAGATTCAAGGGAAAAAGATCGAGTGAAATTTATAGTTTGTAAGATGTAGGCAAATGTAAATCGTGTTACAGGAGACACCATATATTTTATTTGTACTATGATATTGACTGTAGTTTATGTTGATTTATAAAAAAAAATTATATTATAAGAGACATTAAATATTTTATTTGTATTAATTATAGTTTGAGTTGATTTATGAAAAGAATTACTCAGAAACAGGACAATTTTTTTAAAAATAAGTAAAGAAATTATCAAAAGTATTATTTGCCATTACTACTTGTCTTGATAGAAGTTACAACGAGACCTAAACGTTAAGTTGTAACGCCACACTTTTTCTAGATAATAATTAATTGTGAAATAATGAATAATAGCTGTGGATGTATTTTTACTTGATTTGGTAGAGGAATAGTTATAGCAACTATCCATATTTATTTCGTATAAATATAATTAGTGGATTTAAAGATATATTAATTTAATAACTATTACAATCAGCAGCCTCTAGCACCCTCTAGGTACAATGGTAAAAACTGAAGTATGATCATTATTATTATTCAGCAATATAATAATAATAATAACAATAATGATGACGAAATTTTCAAGTTTGTATATATTCTATTTGATGAGATGAAACACATATATAATAAATTAATTATAAAAAGCTCATCGAAACTGTTTGATAGGATGATTATGAACCGTAATACCTGCAGGAGCTTAATTTTACAATAACAATTGAAGATGTAGGTTAATGGCATCCCAAATGATTTCGGATAATACCTAAAGAGGGAATTGTGTTAGGTGCCCATAAACCGCTCCGCTCGAATATCTAGGTCAACTCCGACTCTATTGATCGCAACGGAAGCTTTAATTCCGGCAGTGTCATTTCACATTCAGCGTAGCGCTGCCGTGGAAACCCAAAAATCCTATCATGTGCTTTTCACTTTCGACGATAATACCGAAGGGCTCGGTTATTATTTTTATTTAGGTCGCTCGCCAGCCAATATGGAATACAATCGTTTCCTACATATGATACAGGGTCGAGAGCAGAATGCCCTGGGCATCATTACGTACGACGCTCAACGTATAAATATTACATTCCACACACATACACACACATGTATATATATATATATATATATATATATATATAGTGGTGTATTGTGCCTTAAGAAATAAAATACGATAAAAGAACGAATTCACTGAAATAATCAAAATCAATTGATTTAGTGAAACATAACAGATTTTTTTCATATAGATGATACTAAGCGCTTTGTCTTCTTTTCTATGTTATTTTTTGTTCTTGGTCCTACTAATTGTAGACGTCAACAAAATTTCCTGAATATTGCTCTAGTAGGGCAGACTGGGTACGGTTGTGCCAAGGTATAGTAGTGTTAGTCGGTACAACAGCTAAACTGTATTGATTATGACATTGGGTTCAAAAGGAGAAAAATATAGTATGTTTTTTTGAACAAGTTTTCATTATTGCTTTCCGTCAGCATTTTCAATCATACATTATATTCATGCAACCCAAAATATCTAAAATTTTGAGATAGATTACTACTGCTTCAAGGTTTATAAGCAATAAGACCTTACACGGCGATCTGAATATAGAATTTATAAGCAGAGTTATAAAAATTAACAGTGTTCAATATTTTCAAAAACTGGACCATCATTCAAATTCAATAGTTACTCAGCTTCTTGAGACACCAATTTCAAGAAGATTAAACAAGAAGCTTCCCAAAGATAATATTGAAGACCTTTAACAACCACATCTTGAATTAACAGAATTTGCTAATTACTCATTGGAGTGATTCTACAACTATTGATATACATAGTAAAATTTATCACAATAATTTATATGTCATATCATAGGATTGTTCTGCTCCTTGTTCGATTTCTTTTAATAATATGTGTTATTTGTGCACAGATAAATCAATTTGATTTTTATTTTCCTCTAAGTTGAACATTAGTAGTTGATTGCAAGCAATTAGTTTTTGTTTAAATAATTTACCTCATATCAGTCATAACGATGATTTGTTTTGAAAAGTGTGCGTTGAGTAAGTTTGAGCAAATTTTGTGGGTACGGTTGTGACATGTATTTCTTGTCCTTTTTGAGTGAAGATTAAACAGATTAAAAAAAATTAACTTAACTAAGATAACATGCAAAAGAGAAAACATAAGAAAAATTCAATATAAAAGAAAAGTTTTACAAAGATTTCTTATTAATTTTGTTTAAAAAATTATGTTTTGTTATATATTGTTATATTATATTCCTAAGCTTTATTCGAAAGGTCGTGCTACAAATTTCTGACAAAAAAAGTTAATTTGATGTTTATTCCTGTGTTTGTTTTCATTTTTTAACCTATTTTATGTCTGTCACAACCGTTAAAGGACAGTATTGCAGTATTTTTCACAAATGTTTAAATTACCATTTAATGTACTTTTCTTTAAGATAACTAGTAAATTACCAAAATTATGGCTGATCAAAAAAAAGTGACACAATCGTCTTTCCTTCAATAGATAAAGCTATTTTTGCCATACAAATTTTCTAACTAAAATTTGAATGTTTCACTCGAAAGGTTGAATTATTTGCATAGACTGATATATTCATGAAAAGTAATATCTAAGTATACATGAACTCACATGAGTTTTTTTTAATTTCCAGTTATTGATAGACTCAAAAATTAGAAAATGAAATGTATGTATAGTAATTAAAACCTTACGAGATGAGTATTAATTTATTATGCATAATGTTCGAATATATAAATATACATAAGACTGCAGAAATGTAGATAAAAATACTAATAAAGCACATACAAATATAGAATAGAGTGCTATACTTTTCTATTAATCCATTTTCACTGTATCGTCTATCAGTGTCAAACGTGAAAAATAAATGAAAACAGATCAAGTTAATATTTCTACCGTTTTTCATTTTATTTTTTAACTTAAGTCAATAAAACAACTCTAGTTGCGGTAATACCTGCAACAACAAATAAGAAGTGTTTATAATTTTCACAACGACAAAAGGTCGTGATCAGAATATTACTTCTCGGATTGAGTAATAAGTGAGAAGCACATTGTTCATCAATTAGTATATCTAGGTTATTGTGGCAACGTACTTCTTCTAATTGCAGACTTATGTTTACTAGATAAAGAAGTAACAAT